TGGATGTGCATCCCACAAATCTCCATCAACTGCAAGATGCTATCCTATCAATATGGGCCAACATTTCTAAAGAACGCTTTCAGCACCTTGTTGAATCAATGCCACGTAGAATTAAGGCAGTTCTGAAGGTGAAAGGGGGTCAAACACCGTATTAGTATGGTGTTCCTAATAATCCTTTAGGTGAGTGTATATGACAGCCACAGACAACCAGAAACAAATTCTGTGTCTGTTTTAGTGTATATACCTGATTCTGATTTCAATTTTCAGGCATGTGAAAAGTCCTCATGAAGTGGAGGATAGAACAGGGGGCATGGATACCCTAACAGATTCTGGGGGCCCTTTAAAGGGGGAGCAGGGGGCATGGATACCCTAACAGATTCTGGGGGCTCTTTAAAGGGGGAGCAGGGGGCATGGATACCCTGGCAGATTCTGGGGGCTCTTTAAAGGGGGAGCAGGGGGCATGGATACCCTGGCAGATTCTGGGGGCCCTTTAAAGGGGGGGTGAAAGGGATGCCCACACCCCCAGTTAGCAAACTCCATCTGCTGTAAGTTCCGTATTTATTCAGATTGAAACTGCCAATCCAAGGTGGGGGACCAAAGTGTCATTTTGTCGGGGGGGCAGGCATTTCTGGCTATGCGCCTAGTTAAGAAAAACGGGAAGAATGTGCACGGCACATCATTGGTATGAGGAATGCTTTTTATGCTTGACACAATATGGCACTGAATATTTTCACCCTGATTTAGAGAGCAGCCTTTCCATGTGCATTAGGGACCAGAGCAGGGCCACTTCTGAACATTTTTGTGCACCAGGCGAGAGTCCAAATAGTTCCCCTTCACCACTCATCACCAATGTACACATGCACAAGACAAGGCACAGTTGTTACAATGCTTCAGTTAGTGTGCATAAAACACAGCAATCACATTTAATTACTCATTTTCTAATCAGCTTTACATTAATATACTTAAATATCAAAATATACATAAAACAATAAATCTCAAAATTATGAGCATGTAGATAATTCAAAATGCAAAAAGTATTAAATAAAAAAAACTGGATTAAATGAAAAATAAACACGACAATACAGAACAATAGCATAATATACAAATAATTAATATGACCTACATGATTTCACGACTCCATTCTAAACAATATACAGTTTTGCAAAGAAAACTTGATCACCAGCGACATCTTCTGGCCAAATGGGGACATGAAGGAGCAAACACTTCATAGTTTATGTAGTTTGTTTAGTGTAGTGTTGAATTATATTATTTGGTGCATATGAGAAATAATCTCCCATTATTTGGGCACTGATTATAAAGTTATAATTTTATCCTATGTTTTCAAGTTATATATTTCGGGGGGGGGGGGGGTCAACTAATTATTATTAGTAAATTAGCTTGCAAGAATGATGACAAAAACAAAAGAGACGACATTCAAACTGTACATCTTTACCTCTATATCAAACTGTTTTTTTCCTTCATTCTCTTTCCTGCGTTTCCTATATTTCTCTCCAGATTGCTTTGATCGTTTCATTATTAACCGATCACTTGGCCACCGCCACATAATAACTGCAGAGAGAGTAATAGCTGTTGAAGCCCTCCCCCAGGCATGTGCTCCACCCACCGCTGCTCTCAAGTCTGTCTGAGGGCATCATCGTCACAGGTCTGCACACAGGGTACCGCTTCTCGGGGAGATCTGGGTGTAGCCTGCAGCATTTACTTATTTGAAAACGGAACATGGGCATTGGATGTAACATTGATTTAAATCAGCAGAGAACCAAATAAATTAATTTTAAAATTGCCTCTCTGGTGTTCCCTGGAGCTGGTGGCATCCTGGGTGACTGCCTAGTTTGCCTATGCTGGCCCTGAACCAGCTTAAGAGAGTCGTCTCACTTTTTACAAAGGAGAGAGTGGTTACGATGCTCAGGTTTATCCTTGCATCACAGGAAGAACTACCCTTGGTTGGTAGCTGATGGGTCGTCCACTAGAAGGGGAAGCCCTGATTCTGTAAATTCCAGATTCCAGTTCTGTAAACAAACAGAAATGGAGGTTAATTGCAAGTGCTTGTTATATAGCTAATTCAATCATTTGAATCCTTCAAATGCTAGGTTGCTCAGAGGATAGTTGACTGTCCTCTCTCCTCACTTGAAGAACTTCACAGCTCCTGTTGTCTCAGGAACGCAAAGAAAATTCTTCAGGACCCATCACACCCAGGACATGTACTGTTTGAACGCCTACCCTCAGGCAGACGTTTCAGATCCATAAAAACCAAAACAAACAGACTGAGAAACAGTTTTTACCCCTCAGTCATCACCATGCTGAACACTGCTAAGTGGTCAATTTGAGCCAGGGCACCGTTCATGTTTACATTACTACAGTGTTATTTTGTTTACATTACAGCCTTATGTTTCATGCCAAAACTGGCTAAGGAAACAAGTGCAATATGTAGTTTGTTTGTAACTGTTTGTTTGTAGGTACGAAAGAAAGTAGCGTTCAGGCTCTTTCAGAGTGACTGTTTTTATTTTGCACTGGAGAATTGCACTTTAATTTCGTTGTACAATATCTCATTGCTACAGTGACAATAAAGATTCTATTCTATTCTATTCTATTCCTTCAATCACTGCAAACAACAAATCAGGGCATAAATACTAAGTGACAACACAGCTACTACTGAAGTACAAATCATGAACAAATATAGTCGCTATTTGAGATCATAGATGCATCACGATTCATTAATGATGAACAAACATGGGTTCAGAATTTCACTTGTTATTCATGACAGTAGTTCCTTCAGTTGTTCACAAAGGTTTGCAGAATTAACAGATATAGTAACAAATATAATAACTGTTTGAGATAAAACATACGTCATTGTCATTAATGATGAATTAACATGGAATCAGTATGTAACTAAGACTTAGTTTGTGGTTAATTAATACATATGAAATGGCATAATACTATATTATTTGTGCCCCATCAAGTAAAGTGTTACCCAAATAAGGACATCATCAGCTCCATCAGCACGCTTGGGAGTATATTATAGGCATCCATCTTCCAACTCCTTATTTTGGTGTTGTTATGAAATATTATTATTATCTTGCTTAAACAATATGAGAACAGATTTATGGATAACCTGCACAGTGCCACAAAAACAATTAAACTAAAACAATAAAACTAAATTTTTCATTTTACATGAAAATACAATCTATTTAAGAACGCCACCTTTCATTCTGAGAATTCCATAAATCTTTGCAGTTAAAACTTAATGTTATCCATAAAACTCTCACCGGTCAATTACAGTTTTCAGTTTTTCAGGTCTAAAAAAATGTGCAGCTGGAAGGCATATGATGCAACCGCAAGGCTCACACACACAATTCAAATGCAGAAACCCCCCCCCCCCGTGTTATGCACACAGTGGCAGGAAAATGGAGGATGTGGCATGTACTCCATCGCGGTGAGGCCACATAGGAGATACTCACACAGGCTGCCAGCTGTTTGATGAAACAACACGTTTTCTGCAGCAGCTCCTCTGGGTGGATGTCCATTACCCCTCCATAGCAGAACAGGCGCAAATACTCTGTGCTGTACAGCAACAAGCTTCTGCAAAGCGAAGGCACAACAATGCAGCTTATTTTGTGATGTTTCCTGCCTTCACATTATGGAAATATATATATTATGCTTTACCACTCTTCAGTGTGATTTTATCATGGTAAAGAACATTAAAATTATAATACAATTAGTTTAACTTGGGTCAAATTCAAAATTACACCAGTTTTATGTTGGTTTTGAGACCACTATGAATACAATGTTTTAAACTTGCTGCAGCTGAAACACTAACATTGTCTGGCGCGACAAGGTATCACATTTTGTTAAAACAAGATGTGGAAGAAGTCTCCTCGTAGAATACGTACAAAGGCATTCGGCCGAGTTCATCCTCAAAGTGACAGATGACAGCAATCGGCTGTTTGAATAACCACATATCCGCAGTATCACCTTTCTCCTTCACTTTATGTCTCTGTATTAAAAGAAGCACAAATGACAACCTATTGTTTCCTTCAGTTATAAACCACACTCGGATTTTTGTTGCCGAACTTCAGGATACATTGATTGATACATACTTGATATATTGCTGCATTTGGATAGCGGTTTGCTAGGCGGAAATAACGGATAGAGCAGCAATCAAAAGAAAAGCTGACAAGCGGAGTGGAGCGCAAGCTTTCCCATGTAGAAAGCAAACCCGGGGTACGATTCCCAAAAGCTTCCATTAGCAGCTTCATAGTTGGATCGGTTCAGTTGCATGGTTCCGATTATATACGTTAACGTAGTTACTACCTATGCTTTTGAGAAATGCACCTCAGATGCATGGTTCCAACTATTAAGTTGCTAACGTTGTTAGCAAATATGCTCTGGAGAAACATACCCCTGAATAACTATTTTCACTCTGAAGCATAATTAGTATTATATGTATATTTCATTTAAACAGCAGTATACGCGCAGTGACAACATTCTTTAAACATCTGAAATTTTGCGAAGAAACGTACCAAACTCTTTATTGCGGCCTCCATTTCTGCAATCATCAGTCCACTAAGACCGGCTGCAACTCTGCGTGAGATCCCGAAATCGCATCTGAATGTGGCACGTCATTTTTCGTTAGTGTATATATATTCCTGTATATTTCCGTGATTTAGCCTGTTGCGAGTGTTACGTAATACTTTCAGTTTCACTAAACTTGAATATTCAGGGAAATTACGCGTCTCATCTTTGTAGTGCACGTGAACAATATTGCTGCACACCTGTCCCCATGCAGGGACGGGTTGGGGCGGGGTAGGTGCACAATCGAGCACCTGTCTTCATTTGAACGTACCTCTTTTTGCGGTCCTAAGAACCCCCTTCAATCACGGATGAAGTTCACTGCTCCCCACCGCGCGATCATCCAACCACTTACCTTCCCGCGTGTATCGGTATGTCCCTGACCACATAATCACGTGTCACCCTGACTATCACGTGTACCCCAGAGTATCAACCTCCCACCCCCCCCTTTGGAGAACAGCTTGAAATTGGTTAAACTTAGGCTGCGTTTTCCGTGTGTAGCAAGTTGAAAATTTTAGTTTTATATTTTTTGTCATATGTGTTCCGAGGTACACCGTGAAATTCTTGTGCCACAGTTGCAGGGAAGGGGACAGGTGCAAGGGAAGGGGGGATAAAAGGACAGACAGCAGTGCAATTACAGGACGAGACAGCAGTGCAATGAAGACTAGACAATGTGTTGATATGCGGAAATGTTTGTTTCGATTTGGTCCTGCGCAGCTGTTGTATAGCGGAACGTGATGCTGATGTGGAGCGAGAAACAACTGGGGAATATACGGGAGATGGTGAAGGATACGCGCGAATAAAATGGTAAAAAGTTTATTCATGACATGGTACCGGAAGTGCACTAATAGTTTGCTGCAGTCCTCAGTTTAATAATGGATTCTTTGCATCCACCGGACAAGTTACAGCTGTCGGGGAACGTCGATAGCAGTTGAAGGGCATTCAAGCAGCAATTCGAGCTGTACGGCAGCCGTCGGGCTTGTTAACAAGCCGGGTGCAAGGAAGATCGCCCGAAAGATACGTAAGACTCCGTATTTGACAAGTTCACCGCATATTGCTCGCCGCAGTAGAATATTACTTAATAAGTAAGCGTGACATTAAATAGATTAAAGAAAAACCACAGATCTATGGAAAGTTTATTGTACTGAAAGACTACAAAAGATAGACAGTGTGGGTCAATGCAGGCTGAAAGTAAATCAAATGTGAAAGACGAAGTGTATAAGGTGACGTCGCTGCTTGGTGACAAAGCCTCAGCAGATAAGGGACTGGTGAAAAGAACAACCAGGTTAACTGTCCTCCCCACACTAGAAAAATAAAAAATGACAGATTCCATAGGCTCTGACCTATCCAGAAATGGTCTTGAAAAGAATTTAAATGATATGTCACCAAGAATCGAGAGATTAATGATTAAGCTACAGCAGTACCACTTCAAGCTAATCTACACTCCAGGAAAGCACATAATATTAGCTGATGCACCAGCAGTGAGTCTGGTGAGTATATCAGGAGAGGATGTTGGAGGTCATGTCACCATGGTTACATCCACACTGCCAGTGACAGACAAGAAATCACAACAATTAGCTGAAGAAAATGCCAAAGATCCACAGTTACAGGAAGTGACCTGGCCAAATGGATCATGTACAAAATTGTGTCACATCAGATCTGAGCTCAGTGTCATAAATGGCATGCTAGTGAGGCAGAACACAATAGTCATACCACTAAGTCTGTGCCAAGAGCTCCTGAACAGAATACACGAGGGACATCTAGGCATTGAAAAGTGAGGCAGTGTGTCTGCTGGCCAGGGATAAATCAGGACACTGAAAACTTTATAAGTAGGTAAGACCCTGTCAAAAACATCAAAGTAGACAAGAAAAAGAGCCTATAATGATTGCTGACCGTCCTGCTATGCTGTGGGAAAAGGTAGGAACAGGCTTGTTTCACTTCAGTGGCCAAGACTATGTGACTGTGAGTGACTATCTCTCTACCCTGAAATGGCATTGCTATACCTAACCAATCAGCAGCAGCAATCACAAAAGTGAACTCAGTCGTTGCCAGACACGGCATACCAAGGATAGTGGTGAGTGACAATAGGCCTTGTTTTAATGCAGCAAATGGCAACAATTTGCAACACAATATGATTTCAGTCATGTCACTTCTAGTCCATCATATCCACGGTCAAATGGCAAAGCTGAAAAGGGGGTCAATATCCCAAAACAGCTATTGAAGGAAGCCATTGACAGTAGTTCTGACCCATGCCTTGCTTTACAAAGCTATAGAGCAGGGGTGGCCAATGTTACCCGCAAAGGTAACACATATATATGCAGGTTTTTGGGATAACCTTTAGGTCAGCTGTTCAAACCCAGGTGTGAGAACTCTTCAGCCAATCAGTCTTCTAATTAGTAATCTAATTAGGGAGCTGCAGCGAAAACCCACATACACACCGGCCCTTTGCAGATAAGATTGGCCACCCCTGCTATAGAGCATCATCTAAAGATTGAGACCTATCACCTGATGAGTTACTGTTGAATCTCGGAGGCCTATAACCTGATAAGCTATAGATGAATCACAGACTTTGCACAACATTACCTTTCTTTGTTTCTTATGTGATATTTTTTTGTAAACAAAAGATTAAAACCAATAAATTTGCAATATTTTTTACTGAATTAAACAAATGTCCCAAGACTTTCTGTGAGTACTATATAATATTATATAAGATTATATTTAGCATAACGCAGACAGACCCTGCTGTCATACAAGCAAAACTATTAATTCAATGCAAACGCAGAAACTTCATTCAGGTGTATGTTTCCTGAAATAGTTCAGATTGTTCAGTTGCATAGTTCAACTATGTAAGTTGTGAATGTACCCCAGATTGTTTACAACATTGCTGAAACCAACTAGGTGTCTCCCTGTGTTTGACAAAAAGGTTCAAAGCCTCGAAACATGTTGTGGACAATATGGGGAACCCCTGGAAAGCTTTATGTAGCCTTATCGGCCTATCACTATTCCTTTTGGTTGTCTCGGTTTTGCAGTTCAGCGCCACTTGCTGGTCCCTCTTCGTGGGTGCTCCCGGGAATCTGTCTGTACACTGCATCCTGGAACAGGCCATAGAGCCACACTGCTCCGGGCCACAGGGGAAGTGGAGGAAAAGCTCACCGTGTGTGTGTGTGTGTTGGGGAATCCTAGTGGATCAATCTGTGGATTTAATAAGTGAGTATCTTCCATAGCCTCCACCCTTTTCAGTTCACAAAGAAAAGGATAAGGCACGGCAAACTGGATCCTGTTACAGTGCCAGATGTGGAGGTCTGACAGTGAGCAAAGCACCGCAGGCTAACACCTACTGCTACACCTAGCTGCTTGATTTGTTCCTGCTCATTATTTGTCTCTCAATCCCATACAATATACACATTAAGAGAAGTCCGTTTGACATATTTGTTGATACATAGAACCCCTGTATCAGAGACTATCTGAGGGGCACAAATTCACACTAAATAGCTTGAGCAAAAAGGGGAGGGGCCCAGGCTGTCCCAGCTATTCCCACATGTGCTTGGGAGATTACTATTAATTTCAATATTTCACACAATGTTTAATGTGATTCCAGGTTTAATACACTTTGTTTGTGGTTCTATACTTTTCAGCTTTGAAGTGTGTATTTGTACAGAAAATCACTATCCAAATAATAAACTGACTGCTGCTTCTTCTGGGTGCTTCCTGCACATGCTTATTCCTCAGGAGGCACTGTATCTACACAGCCTACAAGGTAGCTCCACATACGTGAGCCTGGCCTAGTTAATGTGGGTGGCTGGGCCACTGGGCCCATGCTTGCAAACATATTTTTACATTTATTTATTTAGCCTTTATGCAAAGTGGTGTACAGTTGAGAAAGCAGGGTCAGTCAGACTCTGGAGCAATTGGTGTTATGGATCTTGCTCAAGAGCCTCATGGTGACATCACTTTGTTGACCACCCCCATCCATGGCTCCAGGTGTGGTCCTAGGAACCTGGGAAATATTTCCTGAGTGCTGGGGGGCACTTTAGTGCACAGGCATACCCAAGTCAATGTGCCTCTGCGGAGTCCTGATCAAACGTATCTGTTGATTGAATCTAGTATCTTAAAGAATGTTCCCCATGGTCTCTCAAAGGAGATGTTTTGGCAATGTCTCTCCTAGGTGGGGAAGACACAGCATATGGTGAGGAATGATGTCTCCCAGCTGGCTTGGGAATCTCTGGGGATCCTCCAGCATAAGCTAGCATCAGCGGTCATAGAAAAGGGCGTCTGGTCTGACCTGCTCAACATCCTGCAGGCGCCATGAATTGTCACTCCTGTTTGGCAGGACACATTATAAATGTCATCCAAGTTAATCAAGTGAAATGAAAGTATCTGATAATCCTCAATACAACTAACATGTCTCATAGTGTAATGTTGACTCTTAGTTGGCTTAGGGCTGCCATCATAGGTTTTGGTTGGACAGATGGCCAGATTAAGACCTCTATGGGCCCCTGTGAATCAGTACAAAAAGACCCCATCGCCATTAGTGAGTCGACGTGTCATGCCCTTAATGTCTCTCAGCCTGGATCCTTGGACGTCTCCTTCTGTAAAAATGGTCCGCCTTGTGCTAAAATGACTTCTTGCATCTGCTCAGTCATAAATCCCCATAACACAGGATGCCTTGGAGGGGTATATTTTTTCATGTTTTGAGTTTGATGCGTACCTGATTCAGTGGCTTTTTTGTCTCCCACATCCACCACATTGTTGTGCACATCAGGGGGGTGCACATCAGTGTTAAGTAACACGAAATCATACGGCAAGTTGTTTTGTTCAGTCAAAAAAAGAAAAAGTTGAGACAACTTAAAATTTCAAGGCAACTTACTGCACTAGTTTTTTGAGTTTTGAGGGCAACTCAATCTTGAGTTTTGAAGAAAACCACCTATTGTTGTGCCAAGTAATTATTTTTTGAACAGTTAATTTATCTTTCATATCAATCAAAACTTCAAATTCTTAGTTTTACATACTAAGTATTCCTAACAACAAAAGTACAGACTTATTGTTCGGATGATTTGTCTTTCTTATGTGTAGCCAAGCCTGCCCAGGGTTGGTTCCCGCCTGTGCCCCTTGTTCCCGGGATAGGCTCCGGTCCCCCCCATGACCCCAGTTGGGATTAAGTGGTTACGGTGATGGATGGATGGACGTGTAATTAAAAACTTTAAGTTTAAACAAACTTTGAGTTTAAACCAAAACTCTAAACAGTTATAAAATTGTAAACAGTGCTTTATGTTAGCATGTCATTCAGCTCATGCCCCATAAGCCTGAGTGTGTGGTGTGGTGGTCTAAGCTTCTGTGCCCACAGTACAAAGGTAACCAGGTCAAGGCCAGCCTCAGCCATATGTGGGTCCTTGAGTGAGCCCCCCCAGCACCCTGGGCACCACAACAGGTGGCTGCCCTTTACACCCAAGCTTGCTGTAATGGAAGAAGGAGAATTTCCTCAAAGGGATCCTCAAAACGACAAATACTATTTTATATTATTATTGTTATCATCTATAAAATAAACATGCTAATCAAATTATTTTAATGTTTATCTTAATTAGTAATATTGTCACATTGGGACCTGGACCACGCCCCACAGCGGACGCAACTCGGAAGGGAACCGCCCCTTTTAGTTAAAAGGACGCTCCTGGACCAGCAGACTTTGCAAAGTGTTGTTGCCATTGTTTAGATGTGCCTTGCTGAGCGATTGATCGTCTGTTGTCTCTCTCTCTTGCCCCGCGTATCCTGCCTGCCTTGTCCTCCTCGCCTGCCCCGCCTGGACCTCCTGTCATCCTGCCTCCTGTCCTGCCCTGCCCCATGTCCTGTGTGATCGTGTAGGACTGATCCCCTTGGCTCACGACCTTTCTGCTCCGTCCCCGACTACGTCTCCAGTGCTGCCCTTTGGATTTGTTATTTATTGGTTCCGCAATAAACCTGGTGTCTCCCGCATTCTGGGTCCCGACTCTGGTGTCCTGCCTGATCGTGACAAATATTTAGTTGGCACAAATTTTGCTGTTTTGGACTCTTAGTATGTTAAACTCAAATTTTAACGTTTTTACGCATAGCAAAGATAAATCATCTGAACAAAAGACATTAAGGTGGCTCAAATTTCATTGTAAAACTAGTATGTAAAACTACAAATTTGAAGTTTTTATCGACATGAAAGATAAACTATCTGAACAAAAAAAAATTAGTTGGCACAACAATAGGTGGTTCTTTTCAAACCTAAAAAGTTTGAGTCCTCCAAACTCGAAAGTTGCCTTGAAATTTTAAGTTGTCTTAACCTTTTCTTTTTGACAGTGTTGGTTTAGCAGCAGCTGTATTGTTTGCTGTTAACATCGGTGTGTGTGGTGTCTATACTAGCTGTATCTTTGTTCATTTAGTGATTTTTGGAAAAACTTGCTTATTTCTGGCACATTTTGGAGCAATTCAGCACCTCTTGCATCTTTTTCTTTTTTTCTGTTAGATACCGCAATGGGTTTTCAGGGTTAAGAGATTGACTCCAGAATTTACCACCCACAACATTATATGTAAGCCAATGACTGAGCACCTGCCAATATTTGATGGTTACTAAACTCCTATTCCAATTAGACTTCTTTTTAAATCTGGCATATTCAAAGACCCCTTGATAAAAAGGGCCCCAGGCCTCATGCCCAAGTTGCTCGTATGATTGATCCGGCCACAGCAGGACATCACTTTAATCGCATACTATTCCTGTAGTATAGACTTATATACAACCAAAAAAGGTAATAATTGAGATAATGGTAAGGAAAGTATTTGTAACTGGCTGAACACTTCTAGAAGGGGTACAGGTAAAATCTTGGAGGGGGCAAGACCTGGTCATGAACACATGCAAAATTTTTAGCTTTCATAGTCCATCTAATCTAATACTATCAATAATTTTCAATAATACTGGAACTTACTATTGTCTTATCAGTCCAGTTTGATGATTAAGTCATATTATCTCACAACTACACAGATGGAACCACTGTAGTAACCACAGGGCTGAACAGGCTGAAAAAACAGGAAACTGCTGTTGAATGTTGAGAATGATGGAATATAGGACAGGTTAACTCTAACTTGCACATTATCACGTCATATATGTAATGCTTTAAGCCACATGGTGAATGACAAAAACAATAAGTAGCACGATGGTATAGCCTAAACTGAAGAAACACAACAATTAATTCTGTACTTTCAACTGTGATCACAAATGTGTATTGACAACCGGATACTAGCTTCAAATGTGTCGTTGAACGTTGCATCAGTAATTTTTCATGTATCTTACGAGGAACTATACATACTGTCTTGAAGTTCAATTCACTACGTAAGAAAACGAACTGCAAGGCGTTCGTCATCATCTTTATATAATAAACGCTGGATACACTGGGCGCTGGGACCCAGTGGCAGTCGGCTGATTGCCATTTTTATCCTCTACCAATCCCCTTTCGGTCCGAAATCTCCTTTATATAATTACGCTGGGCCAAAGAGTAACCCAGGCAGCGCTCGGAAGCAGCCGCTTTTCTGGTGTGAAGTGCTCCGCTTGGAGACAAAGAAAAAGATGGCCTCTCCAAGGACAATCACCATCGTAGCCCTTTCTTTGGCCCTTGGCTTGTTTTTTGTATTTATGGGCACGATCAAGCTTACACCGAGACTAAGCAAAGATGCATACAGTGAGATGGTAAGTCTGCAGAAGTAGGTGGGGGAGGGAAGCGATCCCGATCCGACTCGGAGCCGGGTGCAGATGTTGCTTCCCTGCAGAAAGCGGTTTTACTGGACAAAAGAAAGCAGAAAGCCACCGATCAATTTATGCGAACCAACCAGACCAGCGTTCTAACAATTTCCTAAGTATAAATTTGCTCACTGGATAAACTACGAAATAGATTATTATAAAATGTGGCGGGATAATACCAAAAGCGGCGAGCTATGCATAGAAGGGCATATATAATATTTCACTATAAATTTATCAGAATACAATGTTAACGCATATGAGGCTGCGAACCCTTGTATGTCTAGTAAATATTTAAAAAGATCAGTTTAGTAGATCACGGTTTGTCACTGAACAGAGTTATTCCGTTGTCGGACAATGGCGGATCATTCCAGCAAATTCTATCCTGCATCTGCAGGTGCTGATGTTGTAAGACTCCTCTGCTGACATTCTCTTACTTTTACACCAGCAATTACTTTTAAACGATTTCTCTTATCGTAAATTCTTTTTATTTGTTTCTGCTGTTTTTGTAATGATAATCTTTATTTTTTGAATGATCAACTAATGAACATTATTTATACAGTAGATTCAGTGCTTGAGATGGGGACAGGCAGGTGCTGGAACTCCCCTTGTGATATTGAGAGGTTTCAGTACTCTGAAGAGACAAACAGCGAGGTGCTGGTATTGCCTGCTTGTGACCACTGGCCTACTTCAAGCACTGGGTAGATTAACAGTAGCAACGTGGGTATGGTTAAAAACATTGAATGTGGTTTTGGTGGTGTAGCGGGAAACTGAGATGACATCATTTAGTTCCACATTCCCACACATACAACATGATGTAATTGTTTTGTTCAATGTACATGCAATAGCTATGGCTGTAATGTTTTAAAGCATGAGGCAGTGCATTGCTTCTTTTGAATAGACCAATTCGATGGCTGCAGTATTGAGCAGGTTTGTGGAGGGGAAGCAGGAGTGAGTATGGCTTTTGTTTTTGGATCAATCCCTGTTGTCACCTATGGTCGTGGGCTGTGGGTAATAACCAGCAGAACAAGGCCGAGAGCTTAAAGTGGGGGGAGGAATTCAGAGATCTGGTGGGGCCTCGAAATAGGACTGCTCCTCATGAGGATGCCAGCTGGCTGGGAAAGCAGCTTCTGGGTGTATTAAGGTTACAGGTCTAAAAAGTACTGGGCATGGATGGCTTTGGATGATTAGTGTCTGTTAATGATAGAAAATATGTGTCCAACATGTCCTAATGTTTCCATGTCAAAAGGATAGTGCCGATTAATTTGTTCTGTTGGGTGCATTTCAGAAACGGGCGTACAAGAGTTATGCCAAGGCTTTGCCAGGCCTGAAGAAGGTGGGCATCAGCTCAGTACTGCTGCGCAAGGTCATTGGAACACTGGAGGTGGCCTGTGGGATAGTAATGACGCTGGTCCCCGGGAAGCCCAAGGACGTGGCCAACTTCCTGCTGCTGCTGGTCATGCTGGTGGTGCTGTTTTTTCACCAGCTGGTGGGTGACCCCCTGAAACGCTATGCCCACGCCCTGGTCTTTGGCATTCTTCTTACCTGTCGCCTCCTGGTGGCCCGGCAGAATGAGGACCAGCCTGAAAGAGAGGAGAGCAGGGAGCAGCTGGTCAACAATCAGGAGAAAAATAAAGTAAAATTGTCATAAATCAAGCACAGGAACATGGCTATAGCACGAGAAAGTTGGGGAGTATCTTCAGATGACAGAGATTCTAAACTAGTGAGAGGAAAAATGGCCACTTGCTGCAAAATTTTTGATCCAGAATGCTTGCCATCTGGCCATCTGGTGGTCAGATTACATTAAACAATTCCCTCCACTCTGTTATTCCAACCACCATAACCTTTCACCCTAACATGGAACAGTCACATGGTGTCACTGCACCAGCTTTGGAGGAAAACACCATTTATAGGGAAAGTTGTTAAAATTCTTTATTCAATTAAAACTTTTAAAATTGACACACCATGTTAGTTCACAAAAAAATTGATTATTGGAATATGTTGCTTTGTGGTTTATGTGATTTTAAAACATTTTGTTCTTTTTAGTATTTTTATATTAAGAAGGTAAACTGTATTGCTCAGTTTACAAAGGAAAAATAGCTGAGTCCTAATAATTTTTACCACTGAGGCTTGCATTAGATTTAGGTTAAACTGTCTCAATGTGTGTCATGAATAGGGTACGTGCCTGGACAAATATGTGGAAAGAAGATGAATTTTTATGTATTCTTTTTGCTATATCATTTGCAGGCATTACAAAATGAATGACCAATTGTGTTTGTATTTATTTCAATAGGCTCTCCATATTATGAGTGAATATGTTGCATTATGTTATAGGGCAGAGTTCTGCCTTTCTTAAAGGGCAAAGCCATTTTGATAATTTTCTGACTTTTTTGTCATTTTTCTTGCCATACTTAATGGTCATCTCTAAAACAACTTTTAGACTTTATTTGTTTATCTGACTGAAGAAACAAATTAGTCCAGAGATAATAGGTCACAAGAAATGTATTGTGTTCGAGTTTTCTATCCATGTACGATCTTATCAGGATCTTTGCTTTTTAAAAGTACTGTAAATTCGGAAAATTGGTTATTGTTTGAGGTATTTATTTATTTCGTGCATAATGTTTCGGACCAAAAAGGGAACAATTGGTCTTATGATTTGAGTTGTTGCTGTGGATCGTGAAATCCATTGTTAAGGCATACTTTACAACTCCGCATCAAACATGTCATATTTGCACTGCTTTGGGCAATTAACATGAAACCAAACTCAGGTTTAAAGGAGAAGACGCAGGTCAGGTTTTCCTGCCTTAGTAGGAAAACCTGACGGGTGTACTACGAAGTATGTTAACTGGCGAGGTTTTTGAGGCATTTGGGTACTACGAATCGTAAGCTGCCTTACGTTTACCTGCAGCCTTTGGGTTAAAACGGCCGTAAGTTTCCGAGCGGGGGCGGGTATTAGTTTGCGGTGTCGACCTCCCCCTTCATGTCAAAGTGCGCAGACAAACCCCTCGCCAGTTTTTTATAGTTAAAGTTAGGTAGGGGCGTGTAAAATTCGCTTCGTAGCACACCGTACTGTTCTGTTGACTCCGGGAAGGCAGCGATCCTTTTGACAACGTGGTACAAAATTTGACAAAAAAAAATATTTAGATAAAATGTGCATTTCGTTTTCCTGTTTGTTTTAATAAAGCTGTGGGTCGAAAATAACGGACCTGAAGTGTTTTTTATTTCAATAATTAATTTTATTTCCTTTAAGGCTGCAGATACACAACTGCACTTATTAACGCTGTTTTTCTTGTGACAACGCATTCCACCCCGACAGTTGCATTTATTAAACATTACATCCGTCCTTTCAAATAGAAACTTACTTCCCCAGACCTTTTAAGCACACCTCACTGCCATAAGCCAACGACTCGCTGCACACCGGAAGTCAGGCGCTTCCCGGAAAGCCGACGCATGCGCAGGGCGTCGCGCGCGAATTTTTGAGTTTCTGCGGAGGGGCCGGTTGTTCAGGGGGACTTAGGGCTTTTTTGGGTTATGCAGCAATGGCGAGCAAATCCGACCCGTCGCGGTTGGAATTAAGTTGCTCCTCGGAAAACGACACGACGGGATGTTCCCGGAGTCTCCGGAGTTCGCGTGTGGCGGAGGAGCAGAAGAAAAGGGGTGAGGCCGGAGAGTCATTCCAATCCGCGCTGAGCTACTTTTCCCGAGGTAAGAATTACGGCGTTGCCGTCGCGGACCCAGAGGTCTTTTCAGTCAGTTATATTTATGAATATGAAGTGTCGCTATGCGTTTGGTTGCATTTTGAGAGAGGAAGGCGACTTTTTTTGAAGCGGCTCGTTTACGGTGATTGTCACCCGACAGCCATCTTGACGTCATCACAAACAGCTGCAGGCCAGCTCGCGTGCAGCCGTCAAAACGCTGGCCTGCTCCTTCTCGCCGTGTTTTGTTGTTAATCTCCGAGCACAAGCTTCTTAAAATGGACCCCAGTGCAAGATATTTTGGAGGGGCGGCCACACACGTCCGTGCATGCAAACAAAGTCTATGACCCTTAACGGTTGAATGTTACAGATGTGCCTTGTATCTTTGTGAAATATCCTTTCGTTATGTAATATGAATTCTTATTGCCTTGTAATTAAAAATTAAAGACTGGGCACTCTGAGCGAGACAGATTTGCCAGCCAAACTTTAGAGTCAGATATAAATTACAAATGTAAAGGCTCAATGACATTCAATTACTGTCTTCAATAATGAATTCCTTAGTGATCCAGAATTTGTCCTCATTTCTTTTTCTTTTGGTATGGCATTAATTGAAATTTTTTCTCCTAATTATTTATAATAACGTCAATATATTAATAAATGAATTATATTCCTCATTTACATCACTGGTATAATTATCCCAGTTCTGATTTAATAGATCGTTTAAAAACTATTCTCTTAAGTTTAGTTCTATATCTAACTAACTTTACAGTATTTATTGATGTCTTTTTACATTAACCTTGCATATTATAAAAAAAACTGATGAGTGTTCACTAATATCTGTTAACAGTATCCCACACTTAATTGTAATCTCTATAGTTTCTAGCAATGTTTTTATTCTTGTTGGTGTAATAAAGATCTAAACTATACAGTGTGTTTATAAAACCATCTGGATTCAAAAGGCCAATAACAAAATCTCCACAAACAAGAGCTCTTTTCTTATTCCTTACATTTGCAAAAATTTCAGCTTGTTCATATATAAATCCATAGTAGTATCCGGAACTCTATACACAGAACTAATTTATTTTCGACTTAATTTTTCCTGTAATACATTCCATGACATTGGTTGTATTATCACCATTTTATTATGTTTTTATGTATTAAATATCTTATAATCCTGTAAATAGTCTTTGTTCACTTCATTTAACTCTGTTTGTTATGTTAAATATCTTCCCCAACTTATACAAGTAATCCTTAATGATTGAAAATTTCATATTTAAACTCTTGCTATGTATGTGAAAACTATCCAGTTTCCATCATGGGGATGAACCCTATCCTTTTGGTTTTTGTCACAGAGCAGTTCATTTTTGTATTTATTGTTTTCTGGAGGCAATAAAAAAGCCGGAGGAAGCCAAAACACAATTACTGATAAGTGAAAACGTTACCCAACAGGAGGAGTACTGTGTGATACTTCTGGAAAATACTCAGAAAAGTCAGGTAATACATGCAGTTGTGTGTCTGTGGCGTTGCTCTGTTCCAGTGAAGGCAGGCACCCCATGGAGAAGCAATGATGTTCTGGAGAGACATCTGGCTGCTGTAGAGCGAGTGGCCCTCAGCCAGGGGCTTCCCCCGGAGGCCGTGTCCATACTGCTGGAGTTTTCCCTAAGCCTCCGCATGGGTGAGTAGAAGTCAGGAGGGTTCTGATTGTAGTCTTTATTTTTCTATTTTTTTTTTAATGTATATACTGTATTTTGGGTAGCCCTGTTGCCTCATTTGGGGGTCAGAATCTTGCCCCTAGCCAGTCTGTGTTATGCCCATGTTCATTACAAAACACACAATGTTATGTTCATTGTAAATTAAAAAATGTTTCCATATCTAAGCCTAAATTACATTTTTAAATTTACAATGAACAGATGGCTTCCAATCAGGAGATGGCGTTTGTCATTTTGGTCTTTTTCTGCATGATATATATTTTTTAAGTGTTAGTTGTATCCATCCATTTATTTTTTATCACTTATCCTGGTCACGGATATGGGGGACCTGTTCTTATTCCAGGCAGCACAGGTCACCAAGCTGGGGTACCCCCAGGGTGGGATGCCAGCCCTTTGCAGGGTGTACACATGCACTAAGGGTGATTTAGGGACTCCAGTTAGCCTAACTGCAAGAAATCAAACTCTGTGAATCAGGATACAGACCCCTGATGTTAATGATTCCATTGACATGATAATTTTTTATGCTTGTCATTTTAAGTGTTTACTCCAATTGTGCACAAGGAAATGATGTCATTAAACAAACGCCAGTCAAACATTACACAGTAGAAAATGACATAGAAATAGTTATTGAAATATGACATTTGTTTCATCCAGCTATTTTTGGACAAGTGAAGGGAGAAGATTCTAGTGATTATGCAAAATAGTCATAGTCAGCTAAAAAAAAAATCGCAATCAGGTGATAATGTAATAATTCTGACAGGCCTAGCTGTCATTGTTAGGTCTGTTTTTTTAAATCATTATACTCCTGAGTGTCTTCTCTTTCTCCCCTGTTTCAGGGTATGTCATCAGCACACGTGTCCTGAAGTTTCTGGTGCCAGCCTCCACAGTGCCACAGGAAGCGGTCCTCAGGGGCATTTCCTGGCTCTGTGTGGACAAGATGCCAATGAGCATGCAGGTAGAAGAGGCAGAAGCAGGAGTTTGTGGCTTAGTGGGTTGGAACTGTTGGTCTTTTTTCAAGGCCCTTAACCCTGCTTGCTCCAGGGACTGGCTGACCTTGCTGTGTGATCCTTGCTAATATGTCTCATTGGAGGAAATGTGAAATCTAACGGTGGCTTGGCAAGCTAAGGGTGCAGATTCAAAGAGAATCCATGTTGTTATCACTCTTATTTAACCAGGATTGCTTCATAAAAAATATATCTAGCAATATAAAATGTAAAACTCATGAAATGAGAAATATCAATATCAAACTCAACATGCAGAAGTACATTCGACCTACAAGAACTTTTGACATCCCATTATAAATCCATAGGCATCAGTATGGAGTTGGTCCTCCCTTTTTCAGCTATAACAGCTACCATTATACTGGGAAGGTTTTTCACAAGATTTTTGTCCATTCATTTTGAAGAACATTTGTGAGGTCAGGCACTGATGTTGGATGTAAAGGCCTGGCTCGCAATCTCTGTTTCTTGTTCATTCCCAAGTTGTTAGATGGGGTTGAGGTCAGGGCTCTGTAAGGGCCAGTCAAGCTCTTCCATACCAAACTCACCCAACCATGTCTTTATGGACCTTGCTTTGTGCACTGGGGCACAGACATGCTGGAACAAAAAAGGGTGTTCCCCAAACTGTTCCTGCAAAGGTGGAAGCATAGAATAGTCCAAAAATAGGTATGGTGAAGCATTAAGTGTTCCCTTCACTGAAACTAAGGGGCCAGGCCAGACGGAGAATCGTGATTCTTCACCTCACAGAACATGTCTCAACTGCTCCAGAATCCAGTAATGGTGTGCTTTACACTATTTCATCTGACACTTGGCTTTGCACTTGGTGATATGAGGCTTGCATGCAACTTCTCAGCCATGGAAACCTGTTCCATGAAACTCCCGGCTTACAGTTCATGTGCTGGGGTTAGTGCTAAAGGAAGCTGGAACCCTGCAGTTATTGTGTCAACAGAGCATCTGTGAGTTTTTCACACTATGCACCTCAACATTTAGTGACCCTGCTCTGTTACTTATGTGGTCTGCCACTTCATGGCTGGGTGTTTGTTGTTTCTGAACGCTTTCACTTTGTAGTAATATCACTTAGAGTTGACTGTGGAATATCTAGAAGGGAAGAAATTGCATGAACTTATAGCAAAGGTAGAATCCGATGACAGTACCGTGCTTGAATTCATTGAGCTCTTCAGAACATTTTTTCACAAATGTTTGTAAATCTGACAAGGCTAGGTGCTTTTTTGTTATACACAATTGTTCTGAACAAAACGGATGAAATCAGTGATTAAGTGGTGTGTCCCAATTCTTTTGTCCATGTAGTGTAGATGACTGGTCCTTTACTGGAGGCTGGAGGTCACCAGTGTTGGAAGTCTCACATTACTGTAATTCCAGTCCTTTTGGCAGTAATGAGTAATGTAACTAATCACCTTTTCAAATTAAATAACTCAGAAGTACTGAAATTTAAATAGACTAATTACTTGTCACTTTTGTCTTGCGTTAACATCTTATTGGACAAATGCAGGCCAGTGTTTCCCCTACCATTATATTAGTGGGGTGCCCCCCCCCCCTCCCAGCGGCACCTCCTGCCCCCCCTTGAAGGTTGTTCATTTTATTTAATTTTATTTTCTATATAGCGCCAGATCACAACAGAAGTAATTTAAGGTTACCTTTCCTATAGAACAGGTCTATACATTGTCCTTTTATTAAAGAGACTAAATAGCTTTATGCTATTTATCTTATTTACACAACAACTTGTCATGTTTGTCTCTACACGGTCGCATGTTTACGATTCTCCTACGCGCTCTGTA